GAGGATGGTGGGGAACCCTGACCCCAGAACCCCTTTTGGACTTGATGTTTGGTGCCAAGGCACTGTGTCCTGTTCTGACCAGAGTCATCACAGTGGCCACTGGGATTGGGAGGGGGAGAGGCTGGATGCTGGGATCCGGGAGAAGCATGTGGGCTATGGCTGTAGAGAGAGGCCTCAGCCCAGGCCAGCGCTGTGCCAAGGGAATGGAGGTGAGACAGGTGGTATGACTGTGAGGAAAAGTCAGTAGCCTTGGTGACTGCTTGGGTGAGGGAGGGATGGAGGGAGGGCCTTTGCAGACAGGACTGTTCTCAGGCCTGGGTGAGAGTAGAGCAGAGCTGAAGTGAGGTCCCTCCCTTGCCCTCCCGCCTTCGCCCTAGTCTCCCTCCCGCCTCCCATCCTCCCTCCACTGTGGCTGAACGAATGAGTGCTCACCGTGCCCCAGGCCCTGGGCCTCGGACAGGAGCCCACAAGGAGCACAGGCCATCTGTCTTTCATCACAGACCACACTGGAGTGATCTGTTTCTGAGGGTGTCTCCCAGTTACACCAGCCGAGGGCCCCCAGAGTCAGGAACCAGCCGCAGTTCAGCTTCCTCTTCCTTCCCAGCACCCTTGTCTGCCCCCCACCCTCACCATCAATTCTGGTGGCAGAGATGCATTTGTGGGTTAAAGGAGGGAGCACATTCACCCTGGGAGGCTGCAGGCAGGTTCCCTCCAGAGAGTGGCCTGGCTGGTCCAGGCAGCCCATTCAGAGCCCCCATGCAGGACCCATACAGAGGTGGGCCTTTGGGGGGCCTTTCTCCACACTGCATCCTTCAGTTCTTTTGTTGCCAATTAAAAGGGTTTCCTGAGGGGAGCCTCCTAGAGTCTGCCCCAGAACCCTTGGGGCCTCTTCTCCGCTTTGCAGCTAAGTCCCTGCTCCAGGAGCTCCCTGCCTTCTGGGAACACTCAGCTGTGGCCATAAATAAAGATAAAGGACCTTGAGCTCCTGGCAGGGTTCAGAAGCAGAGCACTTTCCTCACCCCACCCCAAGCCCACTCGGAGATCATGGCTCATGGATCGAAACAGGCTTACTCAGGGCCCTCCTTGCACACAGTGGGCAAGCTGCGGAGAGCTTTGAATGAGCCCCCCTGTGTCCCCAGAAGGAACCAGAACCCAAGACCGTGCTGTGTTCCAGTGACTGGTCTTGTGTGATAGTGAGCTTCCTGTCCCTGCTGTGTGCAGGCACATGTGTGCCGTTCAGTTTCTCCTACTGACCGCTGAGCACCCACTCAGCCTTACCCCCTCTGCTGGGTGCAGAATATAAAGGAGACTTAGCCCAGAGCAGAGATAGGGTTTCAAAGCCTGAGTTCCAGGGCAGTGGAAGGAAGTCTTGAACCAAGGTACATCTGGTCTGAGAGCCAGGGACGAGCGAATTCTGCTGGACACCAGGAAGACTTTAGAGAGGAGGGGGCATTTGCACTGGGTTTGGAGACAAGCATGTGTGGGGTTGGGAGGTTTGTAAGCACATGCACCCAGGGGACTTACTTTCACTGCCATGCGTCCTCATTCAGAGATGCTGTTTCATAACCTTGGGCAAGTAAGTATCTTCCTCTCTCTGGGCCTCAGTTTTCTCATCTGAGAATGGAAATGCTAAGAACAGTGCCCCCCAGCGTGTAGCTCTTGCAGATTTATTAAGGTAGCGCCTGAGCGTCCAAGCTGGGGCCTGGCTGGCATAAGGTGCGATGGCTGTGAGTGCTGTTATGAAAGGAGACTGCCAGCCCGCCAGCCAGCCTTGTGCTCGTCTCTGAAGGGCGAGGCTGTGGAGTGGGATTCCCACACAGGCCCGTCCACGCGTGGACAGTGTTCCATGGGAGAGAAGGAAGAGGGCGGTTTGGGGCTTCCTGAGGACAGCAGTTCCTCCTGGGGACAAGGCCAGGGACCGAATTCTGGTCACCTGACTCCCAGGTGTAGGCTCCCTCCTTGCCCTCGGGCACCTCTCATAACAGAATGTGCCAAGTCCTGGGGGACCAAGGAACAGAGTGTGCTGGGCTTGCCCCCTCAGGAGAGCAAGGAGCTAAGCATTTCCCACAGTGCTGTGCTGGGCCTGGGGAGGGCCTCCGAGTGAACTCAGGCTGTCCTAGGCCAGTGGGCAGCCACTTCATGGACCCAACTGCCCCAGCTGGTCACTCTGCAGACCTCACCCTGGGTCCCATTTGGAGGGCTGGGGACATGGCATGAGGTGTGTTCGGGCCCTCAATCCAGCCCCTAGAGAAGTTGGTAAGGACCGCAGGCCACCCAAAGGGATTCTGCAACTGATTTCCTGCTCACCTTCTGGGAGGAGACTGTGTTTGGACCAGAGTGGGAAAAGGGTGCAGGGGGGCACCCCCTCTTCCCTCATGCTAATCTTGGGCTTTATCATTTGGGCAAGAGACACGTTCACAGGCCTCGCATTTGTTTCACGTTCTTCATCGTGCAGGCGAGTCGTTGTCCCCTGCTCCTGTGAACAGCCCTGTCCCGAGACCCAGCCACCCTGCCCGCTCATTGAGGGCTTGTGGATGAGTTACATCAGCTGGCCTTTGGTGCCTAGCTTCAGGCCAGACAGATGGCAGCAAGGAAGCCACTTGTGGGGTTGAAGCAGCATTTCCACACCATGAGTCCCGCATTTGAGGGCCTGTGTCTGTTGTTTGTTTGATCAGTGGAACCTTTACTAGGGCTGGGGAACTGAGGTGCAGAGCAAGGCATCTGAGAGCCATGGGCAGGACAGCAAAGCATGTGATTGCCGGGAGATCTGGACTTAGCTACCTGTGTTCAGATCTGTTATGTGTGTGCCAGCACGTGGGCCGCAGTGCCTCTGTGGGGGGTTACTGAGCAGAGACAGATCTAAGGGTAGGCACACTGGCACACTGTTTATGCCACTTGGCAGGCGGCTCTGGCTTTGCATTGGCATCTGGGGTTCAGTATAGCAGAGGCCAGAGGGATGTGCCCAGAAGCAGGACAGTGGGTTTGAGCCCTGCCTCCGCTCTGAGCAGCTGGGTGACTTCAGCTCTCAGTGCCTCAGTGTCCTCATCTGTCCAGTGGGGTCGCTGATGCAGCCTGTCGCCCTGCGTTGCTGCACAGTCGGGTGAGTTGATGTTTGTGAGGCCCCATTCCTGACACACGCAAACCTCGAGAACAACAGCCAGCTTTGTGCTGTTGTTCATGGGATGACCTGGACACAGCGCCTGGTTAAAGCTGTTCGTGGCGGGGACAGACCCCTAGAGGCAGACACCACTTGGGTGTGGGGGGAGGTGGCCCAGCAAAGGCCACACTGGCACTGGGCCTTTAGGGACCCTCGGTGAGACTTTGTTGAGTGGAGTAAGGTTTTCAGAATAATTTCTCCCCGGCCTTCCCTCAGCAAGAGCCCCTTTACCATTTCAGCGGTAGCTGTGGTGGCTTGTAGAGTTCCGAACTCTGCCTCCCTCCTGGCTGCTACACGGCTGACATTTGAGCTTGCTGGAGAGAAATGACCTGCCTTGCAGTCAGCCTCAAAGGTAGCTGCGGGGTCTCTCGGGTGGAGGAAGTGGTCGGTTTTCCCGGAGCCCAAGGAGGACCCAGCTGACACAGTTCAGTGCGCGAGCGGAGACCTCCCCCGTTCAGTGCAGGTCCATGTCCTTTTGATTCCAGGAGTAAAAAATGCCTGTGTTTAAAAGAACTGTGTGTAAAGTTCCATGCCAAAGTGAGTGTGCGTGTGTGAACATGAGCGCACATGTGCTTGTGTGTGCACGTGCGTGTGTGTGAGCCTGTGCACGTGTGTGTGTGTGTCTTTTGGGGGTTGGGGTATTGAAGCAGCCAGTAGCTCATGCTGCTGTGTGGTTTCGTATATTTGCCTATTAAAATGACAATACAGACATGGCACATTAAGGTTTAAGAAGCCCTTCTTTCATTAAACAAACTGACAGTGTAGGGGGTTATGACTTTGGTAATTGAAACATGCTGTTCTGTTCAGGACCAGAACTCTATAAAGACTCTTTCAGCCAATAGCACCCTTTGTGCCAGCAGCCTCTGGTCAAAAATGAGTGTCGCCCCAAGGTCTGTCTCCCCCGGAGAGTGGGAAAGACTGCTTGGCAGCCTTCCGCCCTGTCTAGGCAGCCAGAGGTCAGGGCCTTTCCAAAACCTCCCCATTCTCTGGGCTTTTGAAATCAATTTGCAAGGCCGAAAGCCTGGGCGGGTGTCTCTGTGTGTGTGTGTGTGTGTGTGTGTGTGTGTGTGTGTGTGTGTGGTAGCTAGTGGCCCTGTTCTCCAGCCCCTTCCTCGCTGCAAGGTCTTGTGCTGCTGGTTGTAAATCTGAGGTGTGATTGAAATGAGGGCATGGTGGAATTTGGTTGGCGTGGCTCTGGGTGTTGGGGGTAGACAGGGTAGGCTGTACAGTCTTCCTGGGGGACGGGGGTGGGAACAGCGATACCAGCAAGAGCCTAGGTTTGGGAGTCAGACCACCAGGTTTGAATCCTGCCTCTGTGGAACCTTGGGCAGGCGGCTTTGCCTCTCCATATTTCAGCTTCCTTATCTATTAAATAGGTTAAAACCTGGATCTGACTGACAGGGTTGCTGCGAAGATTAGGGGAGTTAATATAGGTAAGATGTGGGGCACACACGGAGAGTCATGATAGCTTGCTCTCTGTGGAGTGACTTTGTGGGGTATTGTTGCGGAGTATGTCTGCAGAGTACTGCTGG